AACGCCAAGAGCTTGTTAGCCAAATCTCTGACGAGGTGGAAGAAGAACCTGATATACTCGAAAATGAAGTAAGACAGGCTATCAACAAGCTCAAATATAACAAAGCACCAGGTCCAGATATGATAACAGCAGAAATGCTCAAAGCCACAGAAGAAACCGGCATAAAGTTACTTCATCTACTCTGTAACCAAATATGGCATTCCAAACAATGGCCTGAAGACTGGACAAAATCTACAATAACGACCATACATAAAAAAGGCAGCTTCCATAAATGCGACAATTATAGAACTATCTCTCATATATCCCATGCCAGCAAGATAATGCTACATATAATCAATGAGAGACTGAAAACATTCCTTCAAAGATAAATTCCACAAGAGCAAACTGGATTTACCAAAGGTAGAGGCACTCGAGAACACCTGCTGAATATAAGACAGATAATCGAGAAATCTAGGGAATTCAACATCCCACTATACATCTGTTTTATAGATTATTGTAAAGCGTTCGACAGGGTCAAGTGGAGACACTTATGGCGAATACTAAAAGGAGTAGGCGTACCACAACATCTAATTACGTTTATAACCGAACTATATGAACACACTACTGGATCAGTTAAAGTACTTGACACACTTTCAAACGAATTTCATCCAGAACGGGGTGTCAGACAAGGATGTATACTATCTCCACAATTATTCAACATATATGGGAAGTATATTATGCGAAGAGCACTTGAAGGATGGGAAAAGGGTATCTCAATAAATGGTCATAAACTAAACAACCTACGTTTCGCAGATGACCTTCTTGCAAATAGTCAAGCAGAGCTGATAGAACTTATACGACTGATCGAAAACGAAAGTCAAATATTTGGTCTGCAATTAAACATATCAAAGACAAAGATCATGATAGTGGATCGACTACACAACAATCATCCACATATAACCACAATTGACCGGTTCGAGGTTGTGAGCTCATACTTATATCTGGGATCATTAATCACAAACACAGGGTCATTACAAGAAGAGATTAAACGTAGATGTGATCTAGCAAAAGTTGCCACAGCAAAAATGACCAAAATATGGAAGGACTGTCAAATTTCAAGAGCGATAAAGATGAGGTTGATCAACTGCTTAATATTCCCAATACTGACCTACGGATGTGAATCTTGGACTCTGAGACAATCGGAGAGAAAAAAGATAGACGCCACTGAAATGTTCTGTTGGAGACGAATGTTACGAATTCCTTGGACCGACCGTAGAACCAATAATTCAATTTTAAGAGGGCTAAAAGTTAGCCAACGACTCTCTAGTAAAGTCCATCTCCAACAATTAAAATATTTTGGGCATGTTATGAGAGCAAACACAGAAAACATGGAAAGACTCATAATACAAGGAAAGGTAGAAGGCCGAAGATCACGAGGAAGATCCCCAACAAGATGGATAGATCAAATTACAGGAATATGCCAAAGACCTATGCATGAGTTAAAAGAAATGACCAGAGACAGAGATCTCTGGAGACGGACAATACACGACATCACGTCGACCACTACACTCTCCCTGGGGGGTCAGGATTGAAGAGAGAGAGTACATACTTTAAATGAAACGACATAATGTCGATGAATATATATTTAACTATTCGGGAACGATGTGTCCCTACTCGAAATAACACTCACATCAGTCTTTGTCTGTAAGCAGTTGGCCGGCCCTTGGGACCGACGACTTTACGTACCCTCTGAAGCACGGTAAACGACTCGTGTCATTTTTAGAAATGAAAATGTCCTGTTGGTACCGAGATTCGAACTCATGCGCTCGTCTTATAAAGTCAATACCTGGCTGGTGAGCTACGGCAGTCCACATTAAATTTTAACCAAATGTGTACCAATTACAACAGAAGTTTTTTGATATAGAGAAACTTTTTATATCCAGAACTTAATAATATAATCTAATAATAAAATATCTAAGACATTTAATAATTGTTAAATAAAAGTAATTTAATTTTTTAATGTTATGGAACTAAATTTTTGATTTGCTAAATCCTGCAATAAAGATTAATATCCTATTCGCTTGTGGAGAAAATAAAGACCAAAAGTTTTATTTAGCCACTGCTTAAAAATAATGCAGCCTTATTTACCAACTATTCCAATATTTATCAACTATTCCTAATATGTAGATATTGACCAGCTTTTCATGAGTAAATTCCAGTTCTAAAAGTTTCCTTATCTTAAAAGATAAAACAACATAAAATATATCAACCCGAAACAGATAAAAGAATCTGTTTTGTGTTGACATATTTTATGAAAATTAATTTTATTTATTCTCACCTTCGTTATATTAGCTGATTAGCTTTTTTTATATTAACCGAAGAACTTTAGTATAACTTCTAGATGTTCTTGTTATTTACACATATTTATTTTGTATTAATTTATTGGTTTAATTTTATTTTTTGTTCTTAACTCGCCGGTTTAGTTTCTCCGACCATATTTTCTTTTGTTTATTGGATCTCTTGTGTTTTGTTTACATATTATTTGCATATTCACTTCTACTTTTCAAGCGCTACTCTCTTGATTTATTTTCCTCTTAAGTTGGTACACAAAATTGCAAGTCATTCTAGATAGCAGTTGGGGTCTTAAAAATGAACAAAACCTATTAGATATTGATAAATTTCTTTGAACACTGATGTGTTAACGTGAAGAAATCGGCTGTGAGTTTAAACTTGACCTTCATGTCTCCAAGATGATCCACGTGAAGGACATAGAAGAAATATAACCGCTCAATTATATAATATATAATTGAACATCGTTACAAAAATTTAGTTTTTGAATGCTCTAAGTCTAAAATATTAAAGGTGTCTTACCAGGAATTGATAATAAAAAAGTTTTCCGCATTCACATGACAATTCCCATGTAAGCATGCAAATGCTTGGCGAATTTTAAGAAAAACAAAAGTGACTTTTTGAGTCTATAACTTACAATGAATTTACTACTACGGTAACATGTCGAAAACCGATACGCTATATTTTGTCAGAATTTCATTTATTTTACTAAATTTTCTAAAACTCTCAGTATAGCACTGTTATTCGTATTCAAATATTATTTTCTTTATCAGTTTTACCACATTTAAAACCTTTACCGAAATCCATCAAAGAACCCACCTACTGATACCGTTAAGGGAGATCTGATTATTTCGACAGCCTTGAAACTTTAGCAAACGGTACATTATCTATGTAAATACTTTGCTATAAAAATGCCATACCTTCTAAATTATTCTATTTTCCGTTTTGCTTCAATATATGAACGACGATTCTATGTGTGTTTCACATTTTATTGTAAAATCTTTTCTGTTCCCTTGCATATTTTATTTTTGCATTTTCTCATCTAATTTGGTTCCTAGTTTATCCAATTTCAACACATTAGGTTAGGTAAGATCGTTCATGATATCTGCATTTTTCTGTTTTATGAATATCTAATTTTTGTTTTTTGGAGATTCAAATATTAAAAAACAGAGGTGTGGTGTCTTTTTTTAAAAGAGTTATTCCCTTCCCTGTTGATTTGGTGTATCTTCCCTCTATAAATGACCCCGCACATAATCTACCATAACTGAGCAACGATGCATGCGAGTCACATAGTGTATCGGTGTTCTAAGTTTACCTCTTTGTAATTTAGATCACTATGTATGGTACACTACATACCTGAAATCAAACAGTAGTCTACGCAGTGGACAAAAGTCGTTTCTTAGTTCACCAGAATGTGAGGACGGTGCTATGGACGGGAAAGATTATTGTGTCGGTATTTTGGAATGCCAAACGGATATTGCTGATTGATGAGCTTAAAAACATCAAACTGGAAAACTCTACTCTTAAGTTCTAATGTAGGTGGACGCAACCATTCATGAAAACAGACCCATCTTAAATAGGAAAAAATGAGTTTTCATAAGGACAACGCACCTACTTACAAAATAATCTTCTAACTAGCCGTCATATTCACTGTTGGACTTTGCTGATTACTTTTATGCTTTTTTAGTAATTGGCATATTGTACATTATTTATGTTTTAGTATGTGTGTGTGTTGAGTAATTGCCTTCTTACTAAGCCAAGGCAGCTTCATTGTCTTTACAAAGATTAAATTCACGTGCCCTGAATGTTTACGCTCAGTAAGTTGACGATCTTACCACTTCCCCACCAAATCAGTTTACCTTTACATTAATACGAAGACTGATCATTAATTTCCAAGACTTTTTCAATTTCCCGACGACGTCCCAGTGTGATTGACTGTAACGATTACCATGGTTTAGCTTAAGTTTTTCTGATTTTTGCGACCTTCAATTGCTTTCATTTTCTCGAACTATTAGTTACAGCTGTTTTTGCTTGTTTTTAGACCTTTTTCGATATTTTCAAGATACATTTGTATCGGGTTGTGTAAAACAGGGTAAAACTTTTATCGAAAGTTATCAATACTGCAAGATATGTTGGTGAACCAGTGCTTTCGGTAGAAGGTGGTGGTGTACTCTGATTTCTTCTCTCAAGATGAATCGTTTTTGTTACGTTCAAATACTGAGAAATTTGCAGGAGACTGTGTAAAAGAAAGAAATAATGCTGTGCGCAGTTCATTGGCACGTTCCGCACAAAAAACTACATGGGTATTATCACTTAGTCCCTTTACTCACTAGATCTGAGGCTCTTGACTTTTCTTGTTTCCTAAACACAAGAGGTTTTTGAAAGAGCAGAGTTGCAGAGTTTTGATGACTAGCTACTACCTAATGTTAGGAAACTTCTACATCTAGATCATTATTTAGGAATCGTTGGCTAATATGGATGTTAGTATTAGGCCACTATCTAATATTTTTATATGTATACATAAATACGTTTATTATCCTGTAAAATGTAAAAAATATCTGGTTAAATCAAGCTTCTTGAAAATATACATATATAATAATAATAATTATAAAAAAGAAAAGCAGATCTTTAGTAAAAAAATGTTCATCTAGGGAATACTTTGGTAGATCATTGGAAGCATGAGAAGCAAATAAAATTTAAAAAAATACTCGTGTATATTGTAAATTACAATTGTATACATAAATAAATATAATAAAACTGTAGAAATTACAACTACAGAATTTGGTATAGTGATCTTATCGGGTTTGAAACTATGTTTCTAGTGATATTTTACAACTATAAAAATATACTTGGTTTGTAACGTTTTAATTTATGCATATAATTACATGAAGTATGCTCATGGTAGATGTGTTCGAAGTATGCTTATGTATTCATACATAAGATGATAGATTGATATTAAACTAGCCTTTGATAGATGGCGCTACTTTATACCGAATTGGTTTCGGTATTGACATTTGGCATTCATGACATGACGTCTGTCAAAATTATAAGTTTTAAAAACAATTAGTTTGATTTTTACAGCCGTCAAATGCAAGCAAATTTTGTGTTTTCGGAGAAATGGAAAAAGTCGAGTATTCTTCGGTGATTAAGTTCCTCCACAAAAAGAGTAAAACGAATGTGCAAATCAAAGCCGACCTGGACAAAGTTTATGGGGAGGTTGCACCTTCGTTAGCAACAGTAAAATTTTGGAAAGCTGAATTTCTTTGTGATCGTACGAGTATTTTGATGATCAGCGTCCCGGGAGGCCAAATGAAGTCACTACGCTGGAAATGAGCAACAAAGTCCATGACATGATTATGACAGATCGTCAAATTAAGCTCCGCGAGGTAATAAACATCATTCACCATCATCTGAACATGAAAAAGCTATCCGCGCGATGGGTGCCGCATTTGCTGACAATCGATCAAATGTAAAAACATGTGACCACTTCGGAGACGCGTTTGGCAATGATACGGCGCGATCCGAAGGATTTTTTTCGCCGATTTATCACCGTTGATGAAACCTGTGTGCATTAGTACAAACCGGAAACCAAAGAACAGTCGTTGTTCAGCAAGAGTGCCATTCCTATGAAATTGTCCATCCGTAAAAGTTCCTTTGTATATGACCCCATGAGGGTAGTAATAGGTTCCTATTCCAGAAAAATTTATTTGGTTATGAGTACCTATGTAGGAGCTGTCAGTTATGTATTCTTCCAACAGTTTCTCTACTAGATGATCTGTACCGGATACGTCAAATGTAACGAGATACTTGGGAGCTTTACTCGTATCCTGTGGAAGTTCTTTCTCTAAGTCTATAGTCAATTTATGGTGAATTGGTCCAGAAGAAATATAACTCACTTCTCTCCAATCATATCTTGTATAACGTGGCGTGCTGGTTTTGTAACTTCTACTGTGGCACTGAGACATTTCATTGAATACACTTATTTCCACACTATTTCTTGGTTATCGATAAAGAAAAAAATAAAATATCCGTTTACTATTTTGCAATGTGACACAAAAATTGATGCATATGACTGTTATCCTTACAATAACTTCCACAAGATACGAGTAAAGCTCCCAAGCAACTTAATTGTAATCAAATATTTAATTACAAACAAATACGTCACAGCAGCTGTCAAAATTATTAAAAATTGCTTATTATTATTATAGATTTGTAAATAAAAACATAAAATTAACATCAGAAAGAATTTAATTATGGTTTATTTTAAATTATAACGCAAAATAATTAAATTGAATAAAATAAATGAGTCAACATAAATCCAAAATGTGACGTATTTGATTTTAATTAAATATTTGATTACAATCAAGCTTTGATTAGCGTTCGAATAATTGGCCCATAACCAAATAAATTTTTCCGGAATAGGAACCTATTACTCCCTTCATGGGGTCATATACAAAGGAATTTTTAAGGATAGACAATTTCGTGGCAATAGCACTCTTATATACCCTAATGGTCAACGTGTAGAAGGAGTTTTATAGAAATGGAAAGTTAAAGGACAGTACCTACATATACCATGATGGTTTGCAATATCAAAAAGACTGGAATTACCTAAGAATGCCAGATAGAGCTAATATGGAAGAAATAAACTGTGGTTTTCGACCTCTAGGTACTGAATTAGTATCAAATAAGAAAATCGTTACAAAAATACCACCAGGTAATTTTTAAGTGATGATAAAAAGGGAAAGGCAAAATAAAATAACTATATCAGAGACACCTTTAAGACTGGATAAAGATGGATCCAGAGCAACTTTAAAACGAGGTGTAAAATTTGTATTGAATAGAGGTAGTTCTTAAAGGAGAAAATTGTGAGTACATACCATTAGGTACTATTAGCTCAATACTTTTTTTTTACTACATTTTTACATACCATGCATGTATATACTAAAAAATTACAACCAAGTAGTTGTGGTTTATTACCGCTTTTTTAAAAAGCATATTTGTTTTTCCGTGAATTGTTTACAATTGTGTTACAGTGAGAATGCTTCGAATGCTTCTTAAGAATTATAAAAAGGAAAATAACACCAATCACGACAAAATGGCGATGGACCTTCTCGCTGCCGTACCGTTCGTCAAATTATCCAAACTGGACCATTTCTTCAAGCCGTTCTTGATAGCTTCTTGGGTGTATTTGTCCGCCATTACTCTGGACATTGCTTCCAGTTTCTGAGCTCTTTCTATGCTCAACGGTTCACTGGGGAACGTCAGATCGTTCGCCTCCGCTAAAGTTCGAAGATCGAAGTAATATTTGGCATAGACACTTGAGGGTACGTTAATATTAAATTGAAGCAATTCGAGAAACTGCCTTTCTAGTTCGTTCATGTCTTCTACTGTTATGTCCTTCAGTATTTGGCAGTAGTCCACATTCCAAACGGCTTGGTCGTCCCAAACTTTGGAAGCTAATAAGATTGCACCTAAAACATAATTTCATTAAGCAAAACTAAAGCGTTAACTATATTTTAAAAAATATGAGAGAGAACTAAAACAAATACGACTGATCACTGTATAGACTCCATAAACAATATATTTTGTAACAATTTATACATCCAATCTAAATTAAATGTAAATGCATTATTTACAAGAGTATACGATAGTAATAATAAGACTTAAGCAACTATACAAAATGCATACATTGCATTATTATGCAAATATCTGGGGATTGGTATATGTATACCAAAAATTGCATAAGGCATTTGTCAAACGCTCTGGTAATCCATGCTTCGTTCTGTATATACTGTTAGTCTGTCGCCAATAGCTCCATTCCGGCTTTACGATTGCTCAAATTGTAACCATAATTGCAGCCAATGGTATTGCCCGAAATTGAGTATTGGCTGTTGTGCAAGCTCCAATGGCAGAGCACCATGAAGCAGTTGACCTAACTAATTTCGTATAAATATAGGTGCACAACGGCCAAAAATTCGTTCTGGTCTGGACAGGGATCCACAGAACCAGTCTTCTTGGCCTTAGAGACCTTCTGGTTGATTTAGTTCCCAGAAACTCGACTTTTACTTTATTACCTAACCGCTATCCTTTTTATTGCAGGATTTTTATAGCTAGACTTAGAATACTTACTTAGTCCTAAGCCTTTCTACCGTTAGGTGTAAGGCTGGTGGAGTTAAGTATTGCACTGTTGTCTCCATGCTTTCCGGTCTTGTGTTAGATTTCGTGCACTTTCTCATATCAATCCTTTCTTCTCAACTTCTTTTCTGATTTCGTCTACTCACCTAACTCTTGGTCTTCCTCGTTTGTTTTTCCCTTGCACTCTCGTTTCAAACACTCGTTTTGTTAATCTTTCATTCGACATTCTACACACGTGCCCGAACCATCTTAGTTGCCCCTCTACTATTTTTTCGTTTATTGGTTCTAGTTTTAGGTTTTGTCTGATTGTTTCGTTTCGTATTATGTCTGTCCTCTTTCTGTTTGCTATTTTCCTCAGGAACTTCATTTCCATAGCATTGACTCGAGATTTTTGTCTCCCAGTCAATGTCCATGACTCGCTACTATACATGAATTTAGGTCTAACTACTGATTTAACGACTGCCGTTTTTATCTTTTCCGGTATTTCTTTTTTCCCCAAAAATGTTGTTTTCATAGTGTTAAATAAGCTTCCTGTTCGTCCCATTCTCTCATTAATTTCCATGTCTTGTTTACCGTTTGATTCAATTATTACTCCTAGGCATTTAAAATGTTCCACTTGTTCTAGTTGTTTTCCGTTTAATTGTATTGCGTGTGTCTTTCCCTTATTTGAAATTATCATTGTTTTCGTTTTTTCTGTATTTATCTTCATATTTATGTTTGCCAGTTCTTCTTCTAGGATTGCGTCGTCTGCATAGCAGACTGTGACTACTCTCTCAAACCGAAGATGATTTAGAAGGTATGCTGCACCAATTTTATATAACCGCCAGAGAATTTAACATGTCTAATTTCCCCAAAAAAGACAAAATGCATGGTTACAACAGCAAATTTACAAAGATGTAAATTGGAGCTGGAAGGTCAGATAATAGAACAAGTGATGGAGTTTAAATATTTAGGCAACACTTTATCCTTCTTAGTCCCAGCGTCGTCTACAAGCGACATAAAACATGCTTTGTTTAGGAATTTTTTCTGGGCTGATAGTTTAGGTCGGCAGCCTTGAAAAGCAGTTCACTGGAAAGCCAATAGGTAGCATCACCTGCTAGAGTGAGTTTTTAGTTAATTCATTCGCATTTGACGACTATGAAGGAGAAGTAAAAATGGCGAACTGTCCCGATCAGCCAATTCCATGTTCAAGTTTCTGTAAGTATTTTTTCTGTTTTTTAATTAGCATAAAATTCTCATTCAATGATTGAACACTTATCTTGAAAACTTGTTCTTTTTATCTGTAAATAGATAATTATTTTTCCGTCCATATTTTTCAAGCTGTTACCATGAAAACGTTTATGTCGTCCGACGGAGACATTGGGATTTTAGATATATTTTTTTACCGTTTGGATTTGATTATTAAAATATACAATTAGAATTTTTTTCTTTAAATCTGTGACATCCTGGTAACATTTTAAAGTGAATACTAATAAAAACTATTAGGCAGATTAATTTTTATAATAAATATTTGTATATGCTATTCTAAACCTGGAATACTTCTTGTAAACCAAGTTTACAGTTGGAAATGATAAACTAAATATTTTTAAATTCGTAATATGCGTATGCGTTGTACTATTTGCGTATGGTTTTTTACAGATACTAAGCGGATTCAAGCATATGTCGACGACCATTTTGATGGAGATAACAGTGAAGTGAACATCAGCGATGATGATGACTTAGATGCAGATCCAACATGGCTACCACAGCAGGAGGCCACTGACATTGGGGTAATTGACGAAGAAGAGGAAGAAATGATATCGGATGGTACCTCAACTATTTTAAAGAGAACGGCTTCTAATAGTACCGCTGGCGAAGACAACACTCCAGTTACACAAGCCGTGAGTAGCAGTGAAATATACTTCTGGAAAAAAACTCAGATTTTGAACCGTGCTTTCCAGTACCAGGTAATACTCCTTCAGAAAAAATGCTGTAAATCTTCCACCTGATGCTTATGTTAGCAAGTATATTCCTGAGAGTATTTTCAGAGTTATTTTAGAACAGTCAAACAGAACGTATGTGGAAAAAAACTGGGAAAGTCTTTTGGTGGTGTGGAAGATGTAAAAAAGTTTTTTTCAGCAAGTTTGATAATGTCTATTATGGGATATCCTCGGATTAGGATGTATTGGGCCCGAAAAACCAAGGCAGACTGTATAAGTAACCTCATGCGAAGGGATAAATATTTTTGTATACGAAAGAATCTGAAGGTTGTGTATGATGGTGACGTAACGGATGAAGAACACCAACAAGTTTTGGAAAGTAGAACCTCTGATCAGGTCAGCTAAAACAGGTTGTTTGCTAAATCCAAAGCCTCAAGTAGTAGCTATAGACCAACAAATGATTCCTTTCTGGGGCATTGTCCAGCCAGACAAGTAATTAAAACAAAGCCCAATCCATGTGGTTTGAAAAATTTTGTCGTAGCCGCTGCAGATGTACTGCCACTGGATTTTTTCTTTTACCAGGGAAAAGGTGACCCTATAGTTGATGATGAACGTTTCAAACTTCTAGATGTTGGTGGTAAGGCTGTGTTAAAGCTTCTGAAAACGTTTCCTTCTGGGGTTTCAATTTATATGGATAGATATTTTAATTCTGAACATCTTTTAGATTTATTACATTCAGAAAGAGAAGCTACAGGTACTGGCACTTTGAAACAAATAAGAATACCCAAGAACTCCAAGCTAAGAAGTGATACTGATTTGAAAAAAGAAGGTAGGGGGGCAATTGATGAGAGTATAAGATCAGACGGGCATAATTTTGATGTCAAATAGAGAGGGCTCGCAACCTGTCGATAAGTGTAGAAGATGGTGTAAAATACAAAAGAGGTTCATTGACGTCAACAGGCCTCTGATAGTTAAGGTTTACAATGCCAATATGGGACGCATTGACTTCTTAGACCGAATGATAAGTTATATCAGGACATCTGCGCGAACTAGAAAATGGACAGTCAGAGTTATCATGCATATGTTTGACTTCGTAATTTCAGCATCATGGATCGAATACCGATGAGATCAGCGACTTTTAGGAATCAAAAGAAAAGATATTATGGATCTCTTCAGTTTTAAAGAAGAGTATGCATATTTCCTAGCCCATGGTCATCAGGAGAGCTCGGAGGATAGTGATCTAGATTATGAGTGTTCCTTGCCCAGGAAGCAACCCAGGGTATCTCACCCTCCAGACTTGCTCCGTAAAAAGCACACTTTGCATTTACCAGAAATGTCAACCCCAGCTAAGAAGAATAGATGCCGAATGCCAGGATGTTCAGCCAACTCAGCCAGAATCAGGTGTTCTACATGCCAGGTATTCCTCTGCATTCAAGAAAACAGAAATTGCTTCAAGCTATACCATGACCTATGACCAGTGCGTCAACTCAGCCAGAATCTATGTTCTACATGTCAGGTGTTCCTCTGCCTCCAAGAAAACCAAAACGGCATCAAGGTTGTGAATGAACTGACACCAGTGCATTATCTACCAGTTATTTTTTATCATATTTTATTACTTAATAAATGATATAACTAATGTTGTGTATTTATTTCCGATGTATTCATAAAAAATCATGGCTATGTTACTTATAAAACACAAATTGCTTTTGAGAATTTTTGATGATCTTGAAACCCAATGTCGCCCATAGAAGACACTGTATTTTAAAGATGGCTGCCATAAAAAAAATTTTTATCATTTTTTTCTTATCTTGATGCCTAATGTAACATAAAACACACCGAAATATAGGATATAACAAACAAAAAATTTCCTGGGACTGATGAGGTTATCTAGCTACGGAAAGTTTGAAACTAAGATCAAGTGAATAGAACAAACAGAGCCACAGGCTGCCTAAATGAAACAATATGGAGAAATAAAAATATCGGGAAAGAAACAAAAGGCAGAATATACAAAACAGTCATCAGACCAATAATGACATACGCGGCAGAAACAAGACGTGCCACAGAGATTACAAAAAGGACGTTGGAAACAGCAGAGATGAAAACGCTTAGAAAAATTGATGGTAAGACACTATGGGACAGTGCTAGAAGTACAGATATACGACATAGATGCAAGGTGGAGAACATCAAAAACTGTGTAAGAAATAGAAAAGTAGAATGGAACGATCATATAAGCCGAATGACAATAAATAGAGTAGTAAAGACGGCAAGAGACGGTTCCTCAATAGGAAGACGATCCAGTAGGAAGACCACGAAAACGATGGAATGACAACTTACTGGAAGCACATTGAAAAACAGACAGTCATGTCTATATAAAAAGATGAAGAAGACGAAGAATTGAAATTGAATTTTTATTTGGT